ATAGCTAACATCAGTATCACGTCGAACACGACCCTTCCCTCGCTGACCCCTCATTACGATTCCTCACGTGTGGCGTGCCACAGTCCACGCTTGACGTTGCTTGTAAGTCTCAAAATTCTAGAAGATATTTCTACGAGGAAAATCTTTCTAGTCGAAGCAGCCTTTCCACATGACACCTATATACAGGGTGTCCCAAAAGTATGTATGCACTGTCTGATCGTTAATATCTCTCTTCCCAAGAAGTCTTTTGCCTTACTTGAGGTACCGTTTTGTAGAGCTGGCTTCAACTACCTGCCAATTCAAAATTTCTCAAAATAAATGTAAAATGTGTAATAGGGTTTTTATAGACTCTGAGTTCAATACTCAACTATTCACAAGATTGCGAAGCTTCCTAAACGGTGTAACCACACTTTTTGAAAAAATGGCCGCTACCTCTTATCCGGCATAACTCTTCAATGAAGCATCATAATAAGTTGGGAGCTTTACAGTTAGAGTCTACAACTCTAATTAGCCTAGTGTAAAAGCTTTCAAGCTGTTTTGTTTCTTTTCTAAGGCAAAATATGGCCTTTCATTGCTCACAACTTTCTTTAAAGTTTCTGCCGTAATCCTACAGTAATGAAGAGAGATCGGTGATTCGTTTTATAATGCAGATCTAAGTTGAAGCTAGCTCTACAAAATGGTACTTAAAGCAAGGCAAAAGACCTCTTGGGAAGAGAGATATTAACGATCAAACGTTCGATACATACTTTTGGGACACCCTGTATACATCACCAGACGTGTCTTTGAATGCTTCCACCTCTCATCTCAAGATTAGTGAACTCTTATATCATTCTCACACACTGACCGATTAACACCTTAAGCTTTGGTCCATTCTCATCACTCTGTCAGCAAACAGGAAATGTCCTCCACCCAATGGAACGCAGTAAGCTGGTGCTCATCAAAAGATTGATGTATTCGAGTTGCACTTTATATTACAAATCTCTCCAAGAGATGGTGCACTAACTTCTTAACTCGGTCCGTTAGTAAAATTTCATGTTTGTTTACAAACATAAACAAAGTTTGACGATCGAACATTTCAGACTCAGATACACATGGCTTCAGCGGTGTTCTCGTCTAACCTTCGACAAAGTTTAGCTAGAGCATGGGGAACAAAAAGGTAGTTACATTTTTTTGTGGATTGAAACACTTGAAAGGCACTATGTCGGCAAAGCTTCTACTATAATTTCTCTACAAGCTATATCCTGAAAAAAACTTTGCTTTTAAGCTTGAAAAAGTGTCGAAATTTAAATTTTGGGGACCTAGTAATGCTTACCGGCAGGATTGTAATATTTTTGCCACACCAGTGAAGCAGGTTTGCGATCTAATAGTCTTGAATCGCGGACGAATCGAGTCGAAGATCTGCTGAAACATCATTTGCATTTTTTAGTAATCGCTGAAATCTCATACAAGAAATATAAATCTTAGGATTCAACCTGCTGAGATAATACTCATTTTGTAATTGAGCAAAAGAAGCTGAGTCAAGATCTTTTTAATAGATTAAAATTGGTTTTTGTTAAATTTAAGCTTGTACCCACTCGCCTTTGATACATCTCGTTGCCTTCGTCACGCACCTGCGCTTCTCACCTTCTCTCACTCTTCTTACAGCACAATGAAAGTGAGTACGTAGCAGATTTCAATTTCGAGATAAGATACAGTGACCGCCAAGAAGTTGCGGACAAGCCGCCTTCCTTTTTTCATCGCTCATTTTCGGATGGAAAACAAAGATGAAAAAAATGTTTGGATTGCACGAGGTGATAGAGCTCTTCAAGAGCTACAACCCACATATTGTGCTTTCTGGAAAACATGCATTTTACAAAATTTCAAAAATCTTTTTCTAAAAAGAGTCCGAAAATAACCGCGTCACAATGTCGCGGACAATAATTCTTCAGACGCGAAAATTTCCTTTTGGATCCTATCTTTAAGTGGAAACACAAGTAATTCGAACAGGTAAACACACTACATTATAGAACTCATCGAGCACAATAATCTGGTAGTGGTTATTTCCAAAAAACCCAAACTTGAGTTTTATTTTGCTTTCCTTCAAAAAATAAGTTCTAATTCCCTTTTTCGAGCCAAATTTCTTTACAAACCTATTCAAGACATCCTAACAAAGCTGTTGACTAAAATGGATGCTTTTTGCCATCCTGTATGCATCGGATGTGTGTTGGTGATTTTCTTTGCTGAAAATGGCTTTTGACAGTGCGTGCACATGACCTCTCTAACATGGTATGCAAATGAGTTCACTTTCAAAAATAACAGAGATTTGGCGGATGGGGTGACAGAGCGCAGCCTTGGAGGTGATTGGAGTGAAGGCTCTTATCAACGCCAGAACAGTCTTAGAGCTCCGAGATGGATCTATTACATATAAATTGACGGTTTTGAACTTCTAGAATGGACTAGTAGCGAAAGGAGCTTTGCTCAACTTCTGCAGAAAAATCCTTAACATACCACAGAAGCTGCGCTTTGTCACACATCCGCCAAATCTCTGCTGTTTCTCTTACCCAATTCTTTTGCATACCATCGTGTAGTGGTCACGCTCTTTCGAAGGAGCCTACACGCAGGCTCGTAGAATGACTGCCGGCTGAGATACAAGCCTGCAAAGCGATGCAAGTCAGCGGTGAAGTGCAGGTGGGGTTATGTGCACGCACTGTCAAGAACCATTTTCAGCAAAGAAACTCACCAGCACATATCCGATGCATACAGGATGGCAAAAAGCATCCATTTTAGTCGAACAGCTTTGTTAGGATGTCTTGAATAGGTTCACATGTGAAGAAATTTGGCTTGAAAAAGGAAATTAGAAGTTCTTTTTTAATAAAAGCAAAATAAAACTCAAGTTTGGGTTTTTTTGGAAATAAACACTACCTGATTATTGTCCTCGATGAACTCTATAATGTAGTATGCTTACCTGTTCGGATTACTTGTGTTTCTACTTAAAAATAGGACCCAAAAGGAAATTTTCGCGTTCGAAGAATTATTGTCCGCGACATTGTGACGCGGCCATTTTCGGACTCTTCTTCGAAAAAGATTTTTAAAATTTTTTAAATGCATGTTTTCCAGAAAGCATGTTTTGTTTGTTTGCATGTTTTTTTTTTCGGATGTGTGGTTTGTAGCTCTTGAAGAGCTCTATCACCTCGTGCAATCCAAACATTTTTTCATCTTTGTTTTCCATCCGAAAATGAGCGATGAAAAAAGGAAGGCGGCTTGTCCGCAACTTTTTGGCGGTCACTGTATGTATACCAGCTTAGAGTAAGACAATTTCAGATAGGCTATCCAACAATCAAATTGTCTTCGGGTAACGAAATGCCCATTTTGGGGCTTGGAACGTGGTTGGTAAGCGAGTCGTTATGTGCTGATTCTAAGCAGAATACCCTAAAGACCGCTAGTATCGCTGCGCGTTTTATCAGCTGAGCACTGAATCACACCTATGGCAGTGGTTATATTGATTGAACCAAAAATTTTGCGACTGTTGTAAATTTTTATTATTTGAGTTGTGATCGGTCTTAAAATTTCTATTATTTGAGTTGTGATCGACCTTAGACTCTTAAGTCCTGGCCATACGCGTACGCGCAGCGATTTTATCGTCGCTATTCTCTCACCGGGGAGTTCGTGATAAGAGCGACGAAATCGCGACTATTAAATCGCTAGTCGCGGGTTCTGGACATACTTGTACGATTGTGTGCAATCGCACACTTCAGCACACACATTCTACGCAATCTTACTGGCCGCGCCGCGAGCAGCAAATTCTTCCCGAAAATGGAAACAGACAAGTGTGACTTCAGGCATGCGTCATAATTAGGCCGAGCTTTGAAAAGGGATAAGGCGTTCCATCTTAAAGAAGTGAAAAGCGAAAAGCACCTTTGATTGATGGCACATATCGCTTTTTTTTCGAGAGGGGAACCTTTTTTTGCATTGTAGCATATCTGAGATTTACACTTCTCTAGAGGGCTCTTGTCAAACATGTACTACCTAATTCTCTTTCTATTGCTTGCACCCGGATCCTTGAAAGCGTGCAGTGATGGCAAGAAACGAAAACTAAGCGGATTCTCATTTAAAGACGCTACTGAAGCCTGAACATTAGAATGTCTTTAGTAAGAGACAGTTATTACCTATTTATTTTTTCGTGTATTAGTTTCGAAACCATAGGGTTCGTAAGAAAAAGCTCAAGCTGTTAACACCGCACGCATCGCATGCTGAAGTCTTCAGTAGCTTTGTTCGAGTAGTAAAATGCCACATTTTTTTTTGTTTTCTAGAGCTTCAGTTTCCGCGTGGCCCTGTCAATCCTGGTAAATGTGACCATTCGTCCTATACAACATTGCTATGTCTTTGTCCCACTCCTATGAGGCGGTTCCCTGCTGCTATGTTTCGGAATCAGCGCACTCACCCTTCTGTACCAACTCCCAGTTCCAGGCCAAACTTTCTGTCGATTAAATAAAAAGATAATAACGGAAAACCGATCGAATCCATAGTTGCAATGAATTTTTTTTCAAAATATCCTAACTTTATGAGTAAGACGCGCTTTTTTCGATTTTCCAAGTGAGTAACTCAGTCACGTCTTTGTGTTTCGAAGGACGAAATTTACCATACGATAGCTTCAAGCAATACGCAGCACGTCGTAGCATCGGTCGCAAACTTTCCGGCGTGTCCAGACTGGTCGAGTTTAGGAAAAGGGGTGCATATTATTCTCCTGAAATTAGGGTAAGGTTACCTTCGTTATCGCCATGCTCACCGACCCCTCCCCCTTTGCCAACTCCCATCCTCATAGCTCGAAATTTGCGATCATCGAATAAATCGATATTGATTGACAGTGAAAGTAAACTAGGACACCCACCCCGCCGAAGTGTATGCACATGGGCAAAGTTTCTTCCAGACTGGTCAGAAAGATGATTATTTTATTTGGAATATACGTTCCTTTAGTAAGTGTTGGGCCCTCACTTGCCGGAACAGAACACGGTAAAGAATAATTATTTATTAGGAAAATAAGCGAATAGTGGAAGATCAGATTTATTGACGAGAAAGGTGTGAATCGGTATGATGAGCAGCAGAGGTCGACGTCGGGTGGTGAGCGTACCGCTCCAGATGGTGGCATCCCCTCTCTTGTTCGTTCTCGCCTCCTTAAGTTGCCCGCGCCGTATCAGCTCCATCTCAGCTTCTCCGACTGCGACGCTCTCTTCTGTAAACAACCGTATTACAGCTGTTCTCCCTTACACCTCCCCTTTTTACCCAAAAGTCCCAAAGGGACTTTTAAGAAGGGTAGGTGCCTTGGTCTATTGAACTCACCTTTTCTTAGCCCCTAAGCCGCCGTTCTAGGCTGGTAGCAGGAATAATGGCGTTGCGCTCGCTGGCCCACCGCAGTACCGTTCCCCAGAAGGGTAACGGCTCCAACGACTGGTAATGGCCGAGCAGGAATTGTCCTTGACGGCATCGCGTCAGTGCAACGTTCATCTGTCTTCTATCGTCGAGGAATTCCGCGCCCTCGGGGTCGAAGTTTGTCTTGGTGGTGAGTATCACAACTACTTCTTTTTCGCAGCCTTGAACTGCATCCACTGTCGACAAGCGGACTCCTGATCGTGCGGCAAATCCTGCAAGGCGTCGCTGTTGCTCTTTGTAGAAACAGATTATCACGATGTCCGCTGACGCGATCCCCTTGCTGATTAAGGTAGTGACGAGGAATTGGCACACTTTCTGCTCGAACTCATTATAGTGAGAGTGTACGACTTTGACCGACTCTCCGTTGATGTTTATGAACATGAATGGTAGACGAGGATTCGGGAAGTCGACGATGTTTAGTAGTAGTTGTCTGTCGGCTGCGGTTACACCGCTAACAAGGCTTTCCTCGTAGGACAAGGTGTTTGGTAGGGAGATAAGGTCGGGATGGGCCCGGAATGTCGTAACGAGGTTGCGTACTGGCACCGCCCGTGCCTTCTGTAAGACGTCCATGATGCTTTGGGCGCCGAGGTGTGCCAGATTGTGTAGGCGCGAGCATTTGGCGTAAAGTTGCAGTTGGTGGACGTCTCCTATGTAGATATGCCTTGCCGTCGGGACCCGCGCTACCATCGCCATGAAGACAGGTTCGGGGACTTGCGAAGCTTCGTCGCAGATCAGGAGATTGAAACGATCCAAGTATCCCCTGAAAAGGCCTTTTTTGTCGGTGGTGTTCAGCAGGGATGCCGTGGTGATGCAGACGATTTTTGGGTTCATATGCTTGAACAATATGTCCACCATCTCCTGCAGGTTGTAGGTTACGTACCTCTCGGCCATGATGAAATCTTCTCGTTCCTGGTCACTAAGGTCCATGCGGCGTTCGCGCTTGTATCTTTCGTATCGTATCCTGCCTTCTGCGAAGCGTCTGCACGTTTCCCTTTCTGAGCGCGAAAGGACAGGTGCGTAGACTGTGCCGATGCGTTTGAGAACTTCGTTGAGGTCGACTGGTGTTGACGGGACGTCCATGTCAAACGCTATTGTCTCGGCGACAAACCGGACTACTCCGACATCGTTGGCTTGGGCAAATCCTAGCAGGGTGTTTGTGAACTGCGCTATGGCCGTGTTCGTTGAGGCGGTGACGATGACCCTCTGCCCTTGTTGTGCCTGATATATGGCTATGCTAGCGCCGACTACTGTTTTCCCAGTTCCAAAGGCTGCTTGCAGCGCGATTAATGGGTATCTGCTATTCCCTAGTACCAGGGCTTCTTGTTGGTCGTTGGTAAGGTGTAGAAGGCGACCGTGGATTGTGACCGTGTCGATGACTGGGACTTCTTCCACTTGCGCTGCCTCTTCTTCCGTCATACATCCGAGAGTGGTCGCTCCATAGGCGAGGTCGATGAGTGTAGTGTCTCCTCCCGCTTCTCGAAGATCTTCGTGAATCCTCATTCGTGCTATTGCCTCAAATGCCGGATTGGCCTTTTCTGGAATTCGCGCGAGCTTGACATATAGGTCTAGAAAAGCAGTGGTTCCTAGTATGCGGCCGACTTCTCGTACTGCTTGTACCATGGTGTCGTGAGTCTGGGTGTAGGCTGATAAAACCACCCGCACTTGCCTGCTTTCTGGTAAGAATGTGGCCTCTTCGATTTCGACCTTGGTGTAGCGTCCCGCGCCTCTGATCCATACGGAAACAGGTCGGTGCTTTGTCCATCCGGTTTCTGACGACATATCCGACAGGGTGATCTCTATTTGCAAAGGATAGGACGTCAGTGATGGAACGGTGCCGGTTACTCTGTGAGTCCTGTGGTCGTCGTACATTGTGGTGTAGGCGGCCAAAGCAGCACAAGCCATGCTGTAGACCTTGCCCATCCGTCTGATGGCCTGGTCATGTTTGTCGATCAGGTTGTTGAACGGTCCCGTTCTGTCGCAAAACCATTCGGCATCATCATCCTCGGCCTTCATAACTGCCAATGGAGCCATGCCCTCATCCGGATACGCGGGGAAGAAGTATTCCACTTGTCTGCACAACCAGTCTCGTGCCGTCAGGGATGCTGGGGGTTCCGAGAAGCGTACTGCACAGGATACTTGACGTCGACTCTGAGTGAAGAGGATCTCGTCTTCTTGGACCTGCGGCCACTCGAACTTACACAGAGACTTCGTGATTGTTACTGCTTCGCCTGCTCCCTCAATGGCTAGCTTGAAGTTGTTAACAGTGTCTAGAAATTCGCCTCTACGGGCGAGGTCCAGTACGACGGCGCTGTGGCGTTCCGACCAGACGGCTGGGGTAACGAAGGCGAAGTTAGCCGCTCGGAAGAAGAACGCGGAATTGATCTCGAGGGCTGCCGTGCGCGGTTCTCTAGCGAGTTGAAGACATCGTGCAGGGGAACGCAGTGCCGTTATGGTGGGAGAAACATCGTAGACCCATACGAAGTCCTTCATTGAGACTAAAGTTTTGTCGTAACCGTACGCGTTGTTCTCTATGTTGAAGGAGAACTGGTCTAACAGGATGCAGTGCAGTTCGCGGCGGTCTGGCATAAAGACGAAGAAATCCTTGGCTTCCAAAACTAAGCTGTTAGATGCGATGGCTGCAACTTGATAAAGCACCGGATAACTGCCTTTTAGTTTGGGTGGTAAAAGGATCGACGATCGCACTCCTTTGGGGGCTTTGGTCCGTTCCTGGGGTACGGGTTGCGCGTCACCCCGTAGAGTTATTTCTAGCATTCTCTGTGATTTATCTCGGAAAATAATGGCGTCTTCGAGGGTTGAAAACTCGATGAAGGGTAGCATCGTTGATACTTGTTTCATGTCTGGTGGAACTCGAGGGAACAACGAACGTACAAAAGATGATGACATGTAGCCAAGGTGAGGAACCTGTCTGTATGTGTCCTCCGGCAGGACATTGGAGATCTGAGCTTCGGTGAGGTCTTCGCGACGAAGTGGCCGTGGTTTGACGTGGCGTGCCCATGGGTGCATGTCCATTAGATAGTGCCAATAGTCATCTGGGGTTCGTCGTTGTAGCCATTCGGCTTGCGCAGGCCCTCTAGCAGGGCGCTTAAATGGTTCTTGTCTACGTGATGACGGATAACGACGTTTTCTACTGTATTCGTTTACCTGTTGTGGTCGATTGAAACGCTGTTGGCCCTGTGGAGCATGTCTGGATGGTAGAGGGTTAGGTGGGGTGGGTTGAGCTCGTGAGGTCGAGGGAAGATCCACTGATTGCTGTGGGGACGATATTGTCGGTGGAGTGCCACTACGTGGCGGAAGTGATTGCTTACCTGTAATATCGCAAGAACTAGAGAATGCTGATGTAAGCGAAACTGTATCTATAATGCGTGAAGACTCACTCGTGGCTTGTATGTCTGGGCCGACGGGTGGCTGTTGAGGTGACGTCGAGGGGGTAGGTGCGAATCTGTGAGGCGTGATAGGATCCCAGATCGTACGAGGAAAACGAGAACCTATCGCTATATTCATGGAAGAGATCGAGGAGTGTCTGTTTTTCCGCATCTTCGGCGGCGACCACGGAGAGGTCGACTTGTAATCGAGGTATTTCTCCATTTGCGTGTTCCGTAGAGGGTGACATGTGCGTATTATTCATTTCAGTGGCGGAATTACAGCATAGTGTGGGCGTTATCCCACTATTTACCACGCTGCCTTCTGCGACTTCGATAGCGGACGCTACCGCCTGATTTTTATGTATGACGTGCGGGTTGTTGGTAGGATTGGTGACGAGCACCCGGCAAGTGGGTGCCGAAACTACCGCGGGTGATATCAGTAAGGTATTGTTCACTAATGGTAGGTTCTGGCTGATGAGCATGTAAGAGGATGCCCTACCAAAGATGACGCAAGGTACAAATGTTTCGGATGCAGGGTGTACTACAGTTGTTGATGCTGCGCGGACAATCGCTTTCTGCTCCCCTTGATTGCTTAAGCCTCCGGATGTGAAAATCCTTATCATAAAGTTACCGCAATGGAAAGTATGTTTTTGGTAGTCAATGTACCATCGTGGTAGGGTACTGAGTAAATCGTTACCGAGGATTATGTTGTAGGCTCCCGCTAACTTTGAAATAGCTGCCCCCTCTGTAAAATACGTTAGATGGGTCGTGACAAAAGAACCAATTTCGAATTCCAGTCTTTGGCTTCCCAGTAATTTGACTGGGACGCCCGCCATACCGAGTGCGCACGGTATTTGAGGAGGTAGCAAATGGAAGATCCCCAGTAAAGGTGCCATTTCCTTGTTGATTATGGTGATAGCCGCCCCGGTGTCTATCAGGGCAAGCATGTGGATGTTATTGACAATGACTGGGATTTGCGCTACGAAGAAGTCTTCTTCTACATCACCTGCGCTCAAAACTCTGACTGGTGTCAGCGTCGCTCGTGGCGGCCATGCTTGTGTAGCGTCAATTTCTACGCAAGCTAAATCTAGGGGGGGGGGGGGTTGGGTGTGAGACTGAGGGGTGGACCAATTATGTGTAAGTGGAACAGGGCTAAGAGTGGATACTGTCGCAGGTGATGCTGCCTGCTCTTGAGCTACTTGTATGGCACGTGACGCACGAATGAATGCAGGAAAATTGAGCTGGAGATATAGTGCCAATATTCGCTTGAACATTGCAAGAGATACCAGTATACAACATGCGGTGACCCATAGGTCGAAGAGGCTAATGCTGGGGAAAAGAAAATTGGCTATAGAGCTTGTATTAGTTTCTGTTGCGTCAACGTTGGAAGTAGTCTTCGAGTGGGTCCACGACCCCAAATGCGAATAGAGTTTTTCGTGAGAGTATGCTTGCCATATTTCGTGGATCTGGCCGTCTGTCGATATCTCACTCCAGTTAGTAAGTATCAAGTTGTGAAAAATGGTTAATGACGGTAACGAATTCCATTTGGGATTGCTTGTAGACCACGAGAGTGTGTCAATTTGGTCGGCGCGAAGAGGGAGATACATGCCCCGCTGTGTGTCGAACAAGAATCTTCCAGTGGCGTTAGTGAAGAAGAAGAATTGGGCCGTAGAGCATGGTACCTTGTTTGCCTCCGGAAGCATCACCCTTGTAGCCGGATCAAGAAAACCAGAAAGTCGCGTGTTGGACAACTGAAGAGACATGCGGGGTTTATCGTAACAGGTATCGTTAAAGGAGAGCAATTCGTATTGAGACGGAGGGATACGCATGCACCGATGAACCTGTACTACTTCGTGCCCTACATATGTTGCCGAAACATCGGGACGACCGAGGAGTTTTCGGATAGCTATTGTAGGGTTCCGGGCTAATGTAGAGTGGAAAGTCGCTGCTAGGATATTAACGCGTCGGCAAAATGTTAAAAGAGAATGTTGAAAAAGTGCCAAGGCCGATTCTTGTGCTGAGTCTTCTACCGCTAAGAGCTGGGCTGCCAACTGGTTAGATGTGACTATTCCTGCTTCCACTGCTCGTCTATGTCGCGGTTTACCCTTAGCTATAAAAGCGTAGCCCTGGTCGGTAACGGTAAGCTTGCTTCCGCAGTCCCAAAGTGTCCTTGGCTCCTCTTCCCAGGATAAGGCTAGCTCTTCGGAGTCACTAATCCAGACCTGCCCCATAAGATAGCCCCTCATGGTTCCTATAGGGATAAAGTGGCATGATTCCTCCTTATCTGGTGCTCATAAGACGACTGATCCGTCGTCGAGGGTGCACCGGCCATCACCATACTTACAGTGGTGCAAGTCCCCCACTGCCGACTCTGGAGCCGCAGATCCATGACGTGAATGGATCAATGTAGGTATCATGAAGCAGTTAGTAACTGATAAAGTGTGCCGGGAACAACAGCCAAAGGGAGCGGATGGCCAGTCAATCACGAGTTTGTTAGCTGTGGCATAGATACCGTTAGAGAGTTGCAAGGACCCATATTCACAGGAATGATGTTGAATCATGAGTTCACAATGCTCCGCCGTTACAGTTTTAGTAGTTTCCGTCTGCGTTTGCCAACGAGCCCCGAAAAAATTTACAGAAAAGGATGCGGTATGTACTACGATTTTACACATATGTGCTGAAGTATCGTATCTCTTGGTGTTTGGACGGTAGAGGTGCATGCTCAATGCCTGTGAGTTATTACGATAGGTTGGTATGAGTCGCGAGCAATTAAAAGAGGTTGGCACACGTACCAGGCGATCATTAGGTTGCGAAGGACAGAGCCAAGCTTCTTGTGCCTGAGAACCTGCTGTGAGCGAGCAGAGAGCGAGACAACAAGCGAAAAAATTAATGCTGGGAGGAGACCGTGGAGAAGAGGAGAAAGCGGAACGAGATAATTCTTGGTTACGTTGCAATAAAGCTTCGATTCTAGCATTAGATTGTCGAAGAGCTTCCTGACTTTCTTCTAGAGAGAGAGTGAGGGCGTTGACTTTTTGCTGCGTGCTATTCAAAAAACGCCCATCCTCTTCACTACTTATCTTACGTGAAGTAAAAGGAACAGGAGATACCGAGGATGAAGTGTAAGAACGAACAGGAGAAGCACGCTTAGAAAATAACCGCTGACCTGTATTCCTGCGTTTCGCCGATGGACATTGCTTGGCCATGTGTCCTATTCCTTTGCAATTGTAGCACACCAGAAGGTTCTGTCTGTTGTTGGGGTCCTGCCATTGTCCACTGCGGGACGGTATCGGTGAACGTGGACGATTTTGCTTCCATCCCGATCGTGCTGAAAAACGAGGAGTAGTAGTAGTTTCTGGAGTAGCGAAAGTGACTTTACGATTGGCTGACATAGCTTCTATACCGGGTCCGGGAGTTCTGATGTATGGGTTTGCTAATCGCGCAGAGGCCGCTTCCGAAAGTAGTCGTTCTACCGTACGCGCCTTATCTAACGCCCGCTGAAAAGTGACTGGCCCTTCCAACTGTACGTGGTAGCGAATATCTGGTCGAAGGCGTTCAACGAACTCTTCTAAGGTTCGTTCTTGTTGGATTGCCTGCCCCTGACCCGCCGTAGCCTCACGTACTAGCGTTAGTATTCTGTTCGCAAAAGCTACCACTGTCTCACCTACCTCCTGATGACAAGCGGAGAGATTCTGTCGTGCCATATAGCGCTGTTGAGGCGTTTCAAAAAATTGCGACAAATGGGCTACGAGCTTGTCGTAATCGCCGCGATCAGTAAGCGGTAATTCTTCAACTTTTTCGCGCGCCATACCGTCAAGGTACGTTATCAGAATGTTAGCTTTCTGTTCAGATGCGAGCCCTCCCGGACGGGTACGCATGATGTCTTCGAAACGTCGAAGCCAAGTCCCAAATTGCAAGGTATCCCCGCAACCCGTGTACGCCGGTAGGTATATGTGATGTCCCTCGAAATTGAACATAGCTACCTGCGGAATGGTTCGCATGCGGGTATCTACGGCCTCAAAGGTGTCATTTAGTCCCTTAAGCAACGCGGTGTTATTATCGTTAAAGCGTTGGACCAACTGCGCGGTATTGTAATGATTGTCATACCAGACGTTTGTCACTACCTCGGATGTCGCGTCTCTAAGTGTTTTGATCTCGCGCCCATGTACTACGTCTGTATCGCTTAAATTAGGAAGCGAAGATTGTAACGGCCCAATTATCTTCGAAGGAGTGTTTCTGTCTGTGGCTGTATCCTCTACGGGATCTGTACCGGCATCTGTACCGGCTGATGTTGTTTGAGTTTGGGTTACTACAACCCCTAAGTCAGCAGAGTGGGCCCTGGAACGAGTTACCGGAGGGGCCATGATAGATGATGAGCAAAAAGTCAAGATTCAAAACCAAACGGAGTTGAAGATGGTTCCGCTCTACTGAAGTCGCGTATATATATCCCCTGCGTCGCTGATAAGACAACTATGTAAGCAACTATGCTGTAAAATATTTCTGAAAGGCGACATTTTTGCGATAAGCTTGGGAAAGAAAACATCTTATGCCGCGGCGACGGATATCTCGAAAAATTTCCCAGCTATCTCTCTATCTACAGAAGCCATCGGTTCCTTAACATAAACATCAGGCCGCAGCGTGTAATGTTGATGCTTGCTGCGCCCAACGATCGCAAAGCGCATAACTTGAGTACGAGAGGATGAAAAAGTATCGAAACATGCATAATCACAATGCTTGAACTAATGTAGTTCATGAAAATCACCCGGGTCTCACATCGGACGCTCCCAACATTCTCACCGGCATCTTCACAGTCATATTTGATACACTTCCTAATCTACTCTACTTTTGCAGCTGCAGTCAAAATCAGCGTCCCTCTCTGAATTTCTGATCGATCAACTTCGCCGGTCCAACGCCTTTTCAGGCACATGCGCATAAACAAAGAAAGTACCCACGCGTGCTGATTCACTCCAAACCGCATTTCGAAAATTGGCCAATTTGTAAAGACAAACATGAGAAAAGAAAACGAATTCCTGCAAAAACGTGGATGCCGAAAATGCTAGTGTAGACTAACTGCCGAGAAAGGCTTAAAAAGCAAAGAAGAAAAAACTATGGGATCCCAATCTATCAGCAGAAGATGAATATTCTGTACCAAATAATATTCAATCGGTCAAATCCTATCATTATTCCTACTAATGGTCGATCGGTGCCCATCCACGGAGCGAAAAGATATATTTGAAAACTCACCCTTTAGTCAGGCATGCTGCTCCACTCGCTGCTACCAGTAAGTGTTGGGCCCTCACTTGCCGGAACAGAACACGGTAAAGAATAATTATTTATTAGGAAAATAAGCGAATAGTGGAAAATCAGATTTATTGACGAGAAAGGTGTGAATCGGTATGATGAGCAGCAGAGGTCGACGTCGGGTGGTGAGCGTACCGCTCCAGATGGTGGCATCCCCTCTCTTGTTCGTTCTCGCCTCCTTAAGTTGCCCGCGCCGTATCAGCTCCATCTCAGCTTCTCCGACTGCGACGCTCTCTTCTGTAAACAACCGTATTACAGCTGTTCTCCCTTACACTTTGGTGTCCAACTGGATTGTTGTAAACGGTTGGAAGGCGGGGCTTCGTGACCTAATTAAGGCTAGAAAATGACCAGAGAGCACTTTCGCGAAGGAGACGCAGACTGCGTCGCGAGCGAGAGCGGTCATCTTCCAGCCGCCAATCTTGCTGATTTAAAGGGTACTAACGTATAGATAGACATATATACAGAAAACACACATACAAACGGACATTTAGCTTTGTACCATATAAGATTTGATACACTTTTCAGCCTACCAACGAAAATGAGCTTACTGCTGCTTTGAAGGCTGCTCTCGACTGCGGCTATCGCTTGATTGGTAAGCGTTTCTACTCTGTAAATATAAGTTTTACGGAATACAAGGACTGCTTCAAATTTTTTTTTTATCCTCGCATGTGTCCCGCTTAAGCAGGGTCTGCTTTTCTTGTCAGATGTCTCCATGTCATCATATCTGAGGCAAGGTCTTCGTTTATACCAAGTTCTCGCAGGTCGGCCTTGATTCTGTCCATCCACCTCATCTTGGGTCTACCTCTGGGCCTTTTGCCTGGTGCCTCCACAGCCAGGGCCAACTTGGTGATGTGACTTTCATCTCTTCTGCGCACATGCCCATACCATCGTAACCTTTTTTCCTGCATTTCCTGGGCAATTGGAGCTACTTTCATTCGTGCTCGTATAGTGTCGTTGCAGATTTGATCCTTTAGTGTGACACCTAAGGTCCGTCGTAGCATCCTTGTTTCCATGACACTGAGCTTGCGCTCCTCGTTCCGCGTACACGGTCACCACTCACTGCCATACAGTGCTGCTGGACGGATAACGGTCCGGTACAGTTGGGACTTAAGTTGCACTGGCATTCGTCTGTCGCACAGAACTCCTGTTAAGGCTCTCCATTTCATCCATGCTGTGTTCATCCTGCCTGCGACCTCCTCTTGTAAGCCTCCCTCCGCTGAGATATGGCTGCCTAGGTACTTGTATGACGTCGTCTTCTTTAGCTCTTCACCATTGATGCTTATGGTACCTGGAGTTTGTTTCCCCACTTCCATATATTCTGTCTTCCTGGTGTTGAGCTTCAGGCCATACAACTCTAGCCTGTTTTTCCAGTTTTGCACCTCGTCCTGTAGCTCCTTTCTGGTACTTGCTATCAAGACCACATCATCTGCGTAGAGAAGTGTCCAGGGGGGTTCACGTCTGAGTGGTTCCATCACGGCGTTCATCGCAGTGATGAAGAGCAAGGGAGAGAGAACTGAACCTTGGTGAACTCCAACCTTGATCTGGAATTCTTTCGATTGCCCTGCAGCTGTTTGCACGTGGCTTGATGCGTTGTGGTAGATCAACTTTATCCACTGAACGTACTCCTCTGGCACCCTGTGTTTCCGTAAGGCCCACCATATGACTTCATGTGGCACCTTATCGAAGGCTTTCTCCAGGTCCAGGAAGGCTACATGCAATTCCTTCTGCTTCTCCCTGTATCTCTCCATCACTAACCGAGCGGAGTGGATTGCATCAGTTGTACTTACTCCTTTCACGAATCCGCACTGATTCGGTGACAACTCTATGATATTTCGAAGGCGTGTTTCGATTACTCGCTCGAAGATTTTTAGAATGTGGCTCATCAGTCGGATTGGTCGGTAAGATGCGCAGTCTGCTATGTCTCCTTTGTTCTTCCATATCGGGATGGTCGTGCTGGTGTACCAGTCGCGAGGCATACTCTTGCTCCTTATGATTTGATTGAGGAGACTCGTTAGCCATGTGGCTCCGGATTGTCCACATAATTTCCAGAACTCGCTTGGTATGTCGTCTGGACCAGTCGCTTTGCCATTCTTTGTTCTTCTTACGGCCAGCCATACTTCCTCTTCCGTGACTGCTGGTACTGGTCCCTCTATGGGGCTGGCTTCTGGGATGGAGTTGATGGTGCGGCCTGTGGTGGCCATCTCTTCGAAGTAGGTTCTCCATCTTTCGGTAATGTCCTCTGGTTTTCTTAGCATCCTACCAAGTTTGTCTTTGATATGGAGGAAGTGTTCCATATCCTTTGTGGATTCCGCTCTTCTTCTCGCTATTCGGTATATCTCGCGTTCTCCTTCGCGAGACTCTAGATGGTCGTAGACCTCTTTCAAGTACACCTGTTTTGCCTTCTTTACGGAAGCCTTCGTAACGCGTTTGGCTTGTTGGTACGTCTTGGTAAGGACTGCTTCAAAATATTATTAGATTATCCCGACCAGAACGTCCAGCACAATCAAATTAACTCTGAAAATTATCGAGTTGCATCTTTTTGTTCAGACTATTGTTCCCTTTGCACTATCGCCATGATAAAGCGAAAATTCAATTTTTGTTTGGTCAACAAAGACATGACTTCAGAAAGCAAGCTACTTTAACCAACCGATTTATTTATCTATTTAGTCAGTAAGGAAAGAGAAGAAAAAACACTACATTTAGACAACTTGAGATCAGTACTGGTACAAAATCTCAAGCAACACTCATTCAAGTACGTTTGAGAAGTAGAATGATGCCATTCAACAAAGAATGATAACGAAATTGTAGCATACAAAAGTGACTACCTTAGCTAACCTTATATCTTTGATTAATAAAGAGTTCAAGATCTCACTTTATGAGATCCGCACGTGCTTTCATCAGAAGCCTTTTATATTTTTCTTAGCAAGTTCTGATGTGAAAAGCGTTCAATAAAGACAAGTAGAGATAGAATCCCGGGGATATTGCTCATTTGAAGACTTGACAGTTTCTCTAGATTTTTCTTGTGCATGCGAATAATCACGAAAGAGCTACTACTGAGGATGAGTGGCTTTTTGGGAGATGCAAAGGCATTAGATCTTTTTTCCCATTAAAGCTAAGATGGTTTATGAAGCACGATTTGGTGGAGTCGTTCAGTGCCCTGATTGCTGACAACTGAAAATTGATTTTTACTTGCTGAGTCAGGGCCTGGCACCAGCTGGCACGGGGCAAGCTGGATATCGTTTTTGGGGCAAAAAGCAAAGGGGGTTTCGTTTTTGTGGGCGAAGACATACGCAAAATTGGCGGCGACGACCTTTTTTTTTTTTTTTTTTTTTTTTTTTTTAGTCGACGTTTCGTTTTTTGGGGGATTTTGGGGATTTTTTTAGGATTTTAGAGGGGATATCGTTGAGGATCAAAGGGGACTTCGTAAAATTTCTCAAAAGTCAAGGGGGACTTCGTAAAAATTGGCAAATTTCAAAGGGGACTTCGTTTTCAAAATTCCCTGGTGCCAGCTCGTGCCGAGCCCTGTGCTGAGTAAACTATCTTGCCCTATGTTAGCGCGGGAAAGGCTGCTCTGCGAACACAAAATTGGTGTTTTTAAATTTTGTGGAGATTTGATGAGTAAATTTCTATCTAATTTATGTGTTTCATATTCACAGGCGGCACATGAGGCTATTTAGTTCTCCGCGAGTAACCAAGATTTTCCTTCTAGTAGAGTGATGAAAATGAATGAAATGAATGTACTGAATGATTGATGCAAGCATGACACTACTTTAGTACCAACAAAAGACACATGAAAAGGCTTGGGATATCGAAAGGGAAATGTAAGTGAAATTAATAAGCCCCAAAAAAGGTAAACGTTTGTTATTGAACTTCATCCTGCCCATTTCCAGATACGGCATTCGTCTATGGAAATGAAGGTGTGATCGGGAAAGTGTTACATGAATACTTCGCTAATAGAAAACTCAAAAGAGAAGATATATTCATTACTTCGAAGGTAACGCAGGCTCACTGATTCTTGTCATAGCAAATATTGGGAATATTGAAGACTTTGCTGACGAGAGCGTCTCACAGCGGAATGTTATTTTGCTTTTTCCAAATTTGTGAGAAGCTTCAGAAAAACACTTGGGATGCAGGATGTGTGTGATGTTGTCCATGATTTTTTTGCTGAAAAAAATTGTTTACAGCTTCCCCCTACTGCACACGCTCCGGCAGACGTCGAAAAAGTTTTGAAAATGCAATTGGATGCGCTACAACTAGACTATCTCGATTTGTATCTTGTGCATGCCCCTGTGCCGTTTGAGGTGTGTATCTTTTTTGTATTCTCGCAAGACAACAAATACTTTACTGGGGATGTAGCAAATTGCTACTTCGACTTTGCAAATATATCCAAAAATCCGCAAAATCTTTTGAGGCTAGACAAAATACGTGGTGCAGGAAATGTACTGTCTCTCCAAGTGCCTGCTAAACATCTCACAGACAAAGAAAATCTGTAATTCTTTCATTCTAGCATGTAAGTGAGACCTTGGAGATTGAATCAGATAAGTTTATTTGGAAAAGTTTCTCCCCTTATTTACATAAATGATAAGTAGAGAAGGGTCATCAATGAGGCACGGCAGTGGGTGAGCACATTTATGGCTTGCAACTTTTTTTTCTATCAGTGATCATATTGGCTTCCCAAACTAGTTTATAGTGCATAAAATCGTCTTCAGTATTTGATACTTATTATAGATCAGTGGCTTAGAATGTTGGCTACAAGGGCAATCATTTGAAATGATCGCGAAAGTACTCAGAAAAAAAGCTGACTTGGTGTTTCCTTTTATTACCTAGCTATAAAACTTCAAAATTTGGGAGGAAATCTTTCTCTTTTTCTAGCGCATTCAAGGAGTGGCCATTCACAAGATACAAATATACAAAAGGCTGACAAGTTAATCATCTGAAAAACATCGGCCAAAGGCTATAAAGAACATCTTCAATGTTTTTCCTGTTATCATCAAAACCATATTGTTCAATCCAGATGTTTTTACCTTCTAGCCTTCTTTTATACCGCCATGCAGATCGAACTAATTCTTGAATGAGAATATTTGCTTCCAAGGGATTTGAGTTCAAGCCTAGTAATATTGCCGCAGTCCGCGCGCTATAGGTCAACCTTCGATTTTAGTGGTGGTCGGAAAATAATGAGACAGCTTGATTTTCTTTACATTTCAAAGCTTTTTGTTGTAATCTTCAGTATTCTCCAGTAGCGACTAAAACATCACTTTTATAAGTAACCTGCGCCAATCATTCTGTCAACGCGCTACCGCTACTATGCCAGATTTCTTGGAATGTCGCTTTGAAGAACTCGCATCAAGTTTTTGGTATATTTCTTATTACTATGTTACTTCAGCACGAAATCTTTAAGCAGTTAGCACATCACTCAAAAAAGCTCTTCGAGCTCAATTAGATAATCTCTTATACAGGGTGTCCCCGGGGAACGGAATTTATCTACCCAGAAAGGCATGCCGCCATGTAATTAGCAGGGGACATGAGAGGTCATGAACTGTCAGCAACGCTAATTTGCACCCAATTTGCACCGAATACAAGCAAATTTTACTCACAACAGATACGACACCATCCTACAGTGTACGAAACCGGGATTTCATTGAAATTTGAATTCAAAGTTCAGTAGTGTAATTAGTCCAACTAGGGTAAAAATTTGTATTTAAGGGTAATCTGCTATGCTGGTTCCAAACATGATGGTGTTTTGCGTAAAAATGAAACCGAGTTTCGTGATGGGATTGAAATCAATGTTCAATGGCGATATTTGGCAAATCAGAATAAAAACTTGGATTTGGGAATTTCTAAGGGCGCTCTTTACGAATATGATAAAAGCAAATGTTTTATCATTTTTCAAGAATTAAGTGATAATTCAGCTGCTCATTGAGGAAACTAATTGTAGTGTCCAGAATAATTCAATAACACACAGATTTTAATGATAGCTGGGAATCTTTTCCAACCCCCCAAACTTAGTATCAGCTTCACTGAATTTTTCTTACCTTATTTCCAGTTTTATTTCGCAGTTTATATCATTTTTCTAGTTTTTCTGAAAGTATCATTCTTTTTCATCTGTTTTCCAATTTAACAAAAATGCAGTGAAATCTATGAAGAAGCCAAAATTTTAGAAGAAAAAGTTTTCAAAGTTTCCGACGAAAACATTAGCATATTCGAAAACAGCATCATGAAAAAGCCTCAAATGACAATTTTAAGCTTTTTGCCAGATTTTGAAAACAGGATTAAAATACAAAAGAAAAAAATTTTGAGTTTTCACGCAAAACCACCATCATATTTGGAACCAGCAGGGCAGGTTACCCCTAAATACAAATTTTTACCCTAGTTGGACTAATTTCACTACTGAACTTTGAATTCAAATTTCAATGAAATCCCGGTTTCGTACACTGTAGGATGGTGTCGTATCTGTTGTGAGCAAAATTTGCTTGTATTCGGTGCAAATTGGGTGAAATTAGCGTTGCTGACAGTTCATGACCTCTCATGTCCCCTGCTAATTACATGGCGGCATGCCTTTCTGGGTAGATAAATTCCCGCACCCGGTGTCCCCAAAGTATGTATACACTGTTTAATCGTTAATATCACTCTTAGCAGTTTTTACCATCTTAAGGTATAGGCGTTTCCCATGCGTATAGCGGGCGTGGCCCTGCAGACATTCGAACATGTTGAAAAACTTGTTGAATCCTCTTTATTAGAGCATTGGTTTTTGTAACTCTAGCTATCAAAAACTGCCACGCGCATACGTTGACAAATGTCGGCAAAGCTCCGCCCGCTATACTGTGGGGAATAGACGATACTATTTTGTAGAGCTGGCTTCAACTTAGATTTATAGTATGAAGCGAACCACCGATCGCTCTTCGGTACTTTAGGATTATGGTAAGAGCTTTTGGCTTACAGCATCATTGTGGATTAGCCTTGTTTCAAAAAAGTTTCCAAACATTTTGAAAAGTGGTGTACCAGGGATTTTGCATGCGCTGATTACTCAACTTTCTAGGAGTTTGTAAAGCATTTCAAAGGGTGTGACTGCAATTTGAGTGAGCATAGAAAAACAGCAATTACGGTTTACGGGGCATAAGTTATGAAGGAAGCATCGCGGTCAAAGGCAAAGTTCATATTTGGTTTGAACGACTTTAATTAGCCTATGAAAGAGTTTACAGATTATCAAATTTACCTTTTAAGGTGGAATAGGACGCTTAATGACGCAAAACCCTTCTTGAAGTTTCTACCGTAATCCTACAGTAGTGAATGAAGATACTTGATTTGCTCCATGCTGCAAATCTAAGGCAGGCGCTATACTCCTCGAGGAGTATAGCATGGCGACGATCGATATGTATCAAATACGTGTAAAACCGGCGATTTTTGTCGCCGATATTGGCGATCGCCAATCGCTACGACTGGCTCGCCCATCGCCAAGCATACCACATGTCAAATCGATACGTATCAAACGTGTAGTCGCCGAATATTGGCGATCGCCAATAGCTACGGTTCGCGATCGCCAATCGTCATGCTATACTCCTCGAGGAGTATAGCGTCTGCCTAGTTGGAACCTGCTTTACAAAACTGGTACCTGAAGTCAGGTGCCAGGTTTATAAGGAAGGGAGATGTTAATAATCAAATAGTGTATACATACTTTTGGGACACCCTGTATATGTGGAATTTCCTTATTCTTACACATAAAAAGGCAAAAGTTTGAAAAACTGCGATTTTTGCGATTTCAATGGAAATGAGAATTTCACTGTTTAGTCTTTTCTCAAAGATAGAAGAAAATTGAGGTAACCTTCGATTCAACTGGCTTGGTGGCTGGAGGGCGGGGCTTCGTGACCTAATTAAGAGCGCTAGCGCCCGCGACGCAGTCTGTGTCTCTCCCCCGTGCGTGCTCTCTGATCATACCTAGCCTAAATCAGGTCACGAAGCCTCCCTTTCAGCCAGGTGAATCAAAGGGTAAGTTACATATCGATGGGTAGAGAGGTGGCTCTTGCTTTCTCTTTTCGAGTAAATAAAGCCAATAAGTTGTTATATAATATTGATAGTGTCCTTTATTGGTGATTAAGTGATTGAGGAGTAAATGCAAAGCTGCTTTCTCCATTCTTTACTTTATCGTGACATTTAAATCTTTGTATGTATCTCCCACAGAAACAAGGTGACACCTTTGCGCCTGCGTTTGTGGATGGTTTGCAAGTATCAGTGACTATCGATCATGTCGAAACTTGGCATGCTTTGGAAAAACTTTACGATGCTGGAAAAGTCAAGGTAATACCACCAGAATAAGTTATTAAGCTCACAAATTCCTTTAGGCTTTGGGGCTGTCAAACTTCAATACTAAGCAGGTGCAGAACGTTTATGATCATGCACGAATCAAGCCTTCTAACCTTTAGGTATTATTAACCTCACAATTAACTACCCATAATCTTTAAATTCCCAAATTAAGGGCTGATCAAGCTGTACATGTTCAGATCGAATGCCATCTGTACTGGCCACAAACGGAGCTATTCCAACTTTGTAAACAGCTCAATATGTCCCTGACAGCTTACGCTCCATTAGGATCCCGAGGCAAAATGGTCCAAAGGGAGCTCACAGTTCCACTTTTAAAATATCAGTCTGTTTCAGGCTTTTAATAAGAAAATGATTTGGGGCGAAGGTGACCCGTTGACGGATCCCCTTGTGAAAGAACTCGCTGAGAAGCATAAGAAATCTACGGCTCAAGTTTTGTTGCGTCATCTCATCCAGCGTGGAATTGCTGTCATTCCGAAAAGCGTTAAGCCACAACGGTATGTCGTCGGTTTTTGGCTTATGACAATTATCAACCGACTCTGATTTTTGACTTTTTCGCATAGAATTTCTATGAAACTCAACGAGCTTCATTTACAGCGTTAAGGAGAATTTTGGTGTCTTTGATTTCACACTAAGTGCACAGGAAATGGAGAAGCTTGACAATATCAAAAAGAGAACGAGGCTGTTTTTGTTTGACTTGTAAGTGTTCACGACATACCTTCGATACATAGAGCCACGTACTCTGGTGACCTTCACTTTGAGCGTCATGATAGAGCACAACCTTCACTTAGAGGGACGTCATCCGAGGCGAAGCCCCGGATATCATGGCATAACTAATGACATATCCATGTAGGGAAAAATGCGAATGAGGTAAATATGGTAGTGACATCCAAAAGAAGCTCAAAAAACCGAAGGATTACGTTTTTATGGCCCTTTTTTGCCAAAAAGACTTTTATTCAAAAATTCAATGAGGAACTGGAGCAAAATTTCTCAATTAATCTTTCTCTAGACTTCGAGTAAGCGTTGAAAGTTCATGAAAGCAGCTGGAGTTAAATAGAAATGAGAAACTGCGCTCAAATCTTGCGCAGAGAGTTACTTAAATGCTGGTCTATCTCGTTATGGAGTGATTTTCAAGACCCGCGACGTTGTCAGTCCTCCTGGGCGTCTCATGAGGATCACAACGATATATAATGTTACAGGGTTTCGTTATGATCCTGCGGAGATCAATGACCAGAGCCAAATGCCCCGCCGGCTCTGGTCTGTCTCCGCTGCTCGTCTGCGTCTCCGCGACTTGCGCGCTACCTCGCTACCCCAAAAGCGGGGGGCGGGGCATTTGGCTCTGGTACCCTTTTCTTCGTTGTTGAGAGCCCAATTTCGACAATCTATATATCATATTAAAGCTCTTGATCTCTATTTTCACGCTGACAACGTCGCAAGACTCCTTTTTATGATTTAAACGAGAAATATAGGAAAAACGGAGTTTTCGAAAACCTCTTGTTTTTTCTTCAGTTCAACTCTTTTCACTCGGTTTTTTTGTGTATTCGATAGGTCTTGTTTCTGTCTATGATGTAGAAAACGTCGCCGAGCTTACTTCTTTGCTTATGCCGGTTTTTTTTTGTAAAAATTACCAAAAAGTAGTTTTTCTTTACCTTGTTCTTTTTCAATGCTTTTGCAACAAATTTTCTTCAGCTTGGACGTTACTTGCTCAGAAGGATGAGCGGAAGAATCCAGACAACGTCGCAGGATACGAAACGACCATGCGGGGGTGAAAATTTAAAGGACGCGTCAAAAATCAGATTGGCGTCGATGTGCAGCATAACTTTTCAGACATGTTTAACATGTTCAGTTCAGTTGTTGAAGTTGTTGACAGGTTTGCCTTCTTTCGATCTCCCAACCACCGCCACAGCTAACGCTTTTTTCTCAATTAGAAGAGAACTTTGTTCCTGTTGCCATCCAATTTAACCGACAATTCTGAAGACAAAAATGTGCGTAGGAAACCACCAAGATAAGGTTTTAAATTTGGTGATGTGATAGCCTCTGTTTCATATGAATTTTTCGAGTTTCCTGGTTCAATTCAAATCTCTAAATTTCCATCTATTTTTTCTAAAACAACCTTCACTATTTATAGGGGGCAAGAACTCAAACAACTATCACTTTCTGGGCTCTGTCTCTTGACTATCGAAGGTATGGTTCACGAGCTTCATTTACAGCGTTAAGGAGAATTTTGGTGTCTTTGATTTTTTACCTGGAAGGTTTCTATGCTAACAAAAATCAATAACGAGGAGTTACGTTTGATGGGAATTGCTATTTTTTCAGCGCAATCACTCATCCGTTCTATCCATTCGAGGATGTGGAAATCAAAAGTGCCCGTGTTACCCCTACAACTCTAAATCACGTTCAGTTGACGCTGAAGTATAATTCTCATCAATCTTGTATTTTGTTACTAATTGTTATCTTATATATAAAGCTGAATGTCTGTTTGTCTGTCTGTCTGTATGTCTGTATGTGTGTACGTATGTTCCGAATAGAAAATTCCATTTTTGAACCGATCTGGACCAAACTTGGCACACATACACTTCGGGCCCCGGCGGGTTCGATTTTATCGATTATCGATTTTTTTGCTGAGTTCACCTACGGGGCTGGGAGTTGGCACAGGGGGTAACCAGGCATGGAAATTACAATATTAGTTTTCAGGATTATCGATTACTTTTATCGATTTCATCGATTTTTTTAAAAAGTTTGAGCTACGGGGCTGGGAGTTTGCACAGGGGGGTAACCGAGCATGTGGATTACGAATACAATATTAGTTTTCAACATCATCCATTACTTTTATCGATTTTATCGATTTTTTAAATAGAGCTACGGGGCTGGGAGTTTGCACAGGGGGGTAACCGAGCATGTGGATTACGAATACAATATTAGTTTTCAACATCATCCATTACTTTTATCGATTTTATCGATTTTTTTGCAGACTTCACCTACGGGGCTGGGAGTTGGTACAGGGGGGTAAGTGAGCACGCTGATTAGGATACAGAATTAGTTTTTGGATTCATTACATTTATCGATTTTATCGATTTTTTGCAAAATTTAACCTAGAGGGCTGGGAGTTGGCACAGGGGGTAGGTGAGCATGCTGAGAGGGGATAGGGAATTTGCATGGAGAAGTGGCACAGGGAAGGATTCTGCACGGATAAGGATGGAACCTTTACCATAGTTTTCACTGAACCGGGCGGAGCCGGCTAAGCAAGCTAGTGGATTAATAATAATAAATATTTTTCCTCAAACATGTGAAAAGCCAAAGGAAATAGTCAATTTGTTACCTCTGGTTTCGCAATGAAGAAAGCTGAGCAAGCTAATATTTCTACTTAAAAACGTGGGTATTATATATGGGGTTATCAATAATGATTGCGTGATCACATGAGTGAAACTTGACAATGGTCAGAAGGGTTGCCGATTTGCTAGATTGTCTTCCTTTCCTCGCAGCTGCGATGATATGATTAGTTTGAATTGCCGTACACAGAGGTTTGATACAAAAAATGACCAACGGTTTCCAGTTTTGGAGTAAAATTTTATATCCGTGATTGCTCTCACACCAGCTGTATAAGTAGGCATGTGGCTGCAGGTATCCCCCTCGACATTTGAAATACTTTTTTACTCTTCAACAGGAAATACAATAAAAAATCTCTTAATCTGCGCGACTCGTAGTACTTCATGCATGATTAGCGTGAAAAAGGATGATGCAAGGATTCCAGCTGAGTGTTTATCAGAAACGGTCTCAACAAGTTTTCTCCACCTAATCTACACAGTTCGTATTCAGTGTAAGCAAAAAAAAGCAGGCATAGTGCCGCCATTGCAAACCTCAACCTAAATCCTTTGCAGTGCTCTCTGATTACTTACTTTGATCCAGTAGAAAGAGTTTATCTCAATTTTTCCCTTCTATTAAGTTGTTGCAGAAACGATGTCTGTTAATGAATTATTTTGTCACGCTATTGAAGGCTTGTAATATACGAAACTGAGATTGAATTTGCATTGTTACGGGCAGAATTTGGCACTTCGTTTAGTCTTTTTTCTAAAACTTTGAACACGGGGAAATAACATCGATGCATAAATGAATTTTACTGTATTTTAGTATTTTAGTATATATTTAGTCAACACAATTAATGGGCGTTTTTGGTCTCGTCTCAAGACAGCTTTTCTGCACTGAACTTTCCTACACAAAATAGATTTAGCATATTATTGAGAAGCTCTGTCAGCCTCAAATGTCGAAAAAAAAATACGGAGCATTGCATAACCGCGCTCAAAATAAGAATTTTATTGCATTTATTTTTTCTGGCCAGAACGCATACGCGATTGATGGCATTGTTTCAAAAACTCAGCTACTGCATATGATAGAAATTATCAGATCACCACACTTGCCTACACTACTTATCATCTAAGCTGAAATATGGACACCTCAACATGGATTGTCGCTGCGATAATTTTCTGTGGCCCATAAATTTCCACTGGAGAAAGCAATCGCGCCAAACTTCACACATTTCTGAAAGCTCAAAGGTAGGGCCTTCTGCCCATTCGTAATAGTATACAGTTGGATGTGCAGTACTGCGAAAGGTTTGCTGCGTCTGATGGTGTTACCGCATTGAGAAATGTGCATTTTTTAAAAAGCCATAGCACTTTAAAAAACTCGCAAAACGCTTACAATTTTGCACCAACCTAATGTCTACTGTGTGATGGTCAACTGGGAAGGTCGTAGGAATGAATTCTCGTGGCAATATTCCGATTTGGCGTAGTTAAATGCTCAATGAGTTCGTCTTCAATATCTACGTGGAATAAAGATTTTAGCAGGTCTTTGGTAGTCGTTTTGTAGAGCCTTGCTTCATTCTATCGAATTGGTGTCCCATACGCTTCGAAAAATTTTTGCGGGCCCATAACCCATAAAATCCAGAAAAAGGTTGCGTGGAATAAACTGCCAAAACACAAGTTAAATTGAAATTTCAAAAAGTTTAAAAATTTGTTTCAATCATTCAAAAAAATACAAGCCACTTGCACATTTCTACCCATGTAAAACTTCAAAAATTTCATACAAATTTTCGACAAGGGGCCTCGATACGTGGTAGCATAGGCTATGAACATTATCTTTATCGTTAAACTAACACATATTCACAAAAAATGTCTTCTAGCAATTATAAGGCTATTTCAAGTATGACATGTTTTTATAGCGGAAAATGATTACCGCTCAATGGAGCGTAGCAAGTTTTGCAAGGTACACTCGAGTCATTAGCGAAATTGATCTTTCAATGATTAAAATTGTAGTGAAGTCATCTGATTACATCAGAAAGTGAGGAGATTATGGAAATGAATATGATATCTGTAGAAACCTTTGCTCAGAACTTTTTTGTCGCAAAAACTTTGCATAGTCTTTCGGAGTATGTTTACCCTGCAATCACTTTATCGATAATTTAGTTTCTTAACGTTTATGAGCCTCCCAAAAGATCAACATCTTATCGCTACCATCAATTCAATTGGACAGATTCGTAAGAAAGCAGAGATTTATTTCTCGCTGTGTAATTGAGCCATTGTAATTAGAATTAATTGAGAGTTGTAATTAGCATTCGTAAATTACATTTTTGTTTACTCACTTTACAATTTCCAAATTTTATAGGTTCTTTGCTTGGTTAAACATTTTTACTGCTACAAGCAACAATTTAGCTTGGCATAAAGATTACTTTTTGGATTTCGAGATAGGAGTTAAGAATGAACAAGCTTTCAAATTTGCTATCACACTCATAATTTTAAAGAAAAATACATTCAAAATGTCGATCTTTGAAAAATGCCTCATGTACGCGTTTGATAGCTTTACTTTCATAGAGGTAAATACCACATAGGGTATTTAAACATATAAACAATTATTGAGTTTAAAGATGTAGGGCGATCGCTTCTTCTAAAAAGCAAGTTTTCGTAGTGTCTTCAACACCATCACTCACTTTCTCTTTATCTCTCTTCGCTTTGAACTTTTGCACGTTTGATGCAAAGCTTCTCAATATAACCAGAGAACGTCACATAGTGGCAAAAGTACAGTTGGGAAACAACTGCTTATTTTATTTTATTTTATTTTTATTCAGATTCTCTTTTTTATGTCATTCGCAATGCATATTTTAACTGCAACTTCCTTATAATCATTGAATACCCAAATAAGCTTCTTACCGCAACTTTTATAAGTAATTTCTCTACTACCATCCTATTACACTCGTGGCAACAGTTACTGAAGAAACTTCTTCCCGGCCTTGTTCAGCCCATGATTAAGCATGTCTTTTTCTAATTTCTAATTACGTTTCCCAGCATTACACTTGCCACTCTGTGAAGACTCCTGTATGCTGCATTTATAGCCATCGTCCAGTAACGACAAACCCTGATGCCTATTTGCAAGCAATAGACTCAGCAAATCAACCAAAAATGTTATTACAATGGCGAATTGCGCCTGTCTAGTTTTTTTTCATAACTATCACCATTGAATTTCATTTATCACAATCTGTCACTCTGAGTACCATGCTAACGGCTTGAGACAATGAGTCGAACGACCTTACATATATTATGTTGGTGCAAAAGTTCTTTCACACCAAATTGAAAAATTCATAACTTGGTGAGTTCTCAACAAATTTACAAGATCCAAATTTTGTATAAGAGAGGAACTCAATCTCTTTGCATTACATCTAAACTGTTCATTAACGTATACAAATTAAGGAGATAGAAGCGCAACAAAATCACTCAAAATCTGAATTTTTCGTGTAGGGTCATAAAAAATCGGAAACTTACAACAAAAATCGAAGTAGTCGGTATTGTAGGTTATTTCACCAGCTCTTTCTAACGATGCAAAGTTTGCGCCGATTGACTTCTCTATGAAAAGTTATGATTTTCGAGCAAGCAATACAAAAGGGCGAATTTGATTTATTTTGGCATTTTTCAAGGAAATCTCAGCTTTTGACAGAGACGCTCAATCGACGCAAACTTTAGATAGAGCTTGTGAAAGAACCTACAATACTAACTGCTCCGATTTTTCTGCAGGTTTCCGATTTTTTATGACCCTACACGAAAAATTCAAATTTTGAGTGATTTTGGTTTTGAGCTTCTATCTCCTTCATTTGTACACGAACAGTTTAACGAACAGTTCAGATACAGATGCAAAAAGTATGAGTTCCTCTCTTATGCAAAATTTAGACCTTGCCGATTCGTTGAGAATTCAACAAGTTATGATTCTTTGAATTTGGTGCGAAAGAACTTCCGCACCAACCTAATACAAAGGTCATCCAACTCTACAGGAAATATACTTTTTTAATGCAGACAAGTGTTCAGCTAAGCTTCTTATCCCAAGAATGGCAGCACCCAAAATTAAGCTTTCATCTGGTCGCTATATGCCTATTCTAGGACTCGGAACATGGCTAGTAAGTTACATAACATCGCATACTTGCAGAATATGTGGACTTCATAGATATATCTACAGGAGGTCCGTAAAAAATGTGCCTACTGTTTGATTGTGAATAACTCTCTTCTAACGAAGTCTTTCGAGAAGCTTTAGGCACCATTTTGTAGAGCGAGGTTCAACTTAGATTTGCAGTATAGAGCGAATCACCGAGCTCTTTTTATTACTGTAGGATTACGGTAGGAACTTCGACAAGGATTTTAGGTCTTTGGAGGCCATAATCTGCCTCGGAACATGACCAAACAAGCCGGAAATTCTTACACTATGGTAATGGAAGCCGCTCTTTTCGAATATGAAATTTCCACTTTACTGTGGTGCCTCTTTCCTAAGTTACCCCAGGTGAACCGTAATAATTGAATTTTCCAGCATTTTTCAGAAATGTGATTACACCGTCAAAAAAGCTGAAAACACCCGTAAAAAGTTGTGCAGTGGAATCAGCGTGCGCGAAAACCCTAGTACACGATTTTTCAGATTTTTTGAAAAAAATTTTGTCAGGCGGCATATTTCACGATGGTTCCATATGCTGAAAGTTCCTCCCATATTCCTACAGTAATAAAACGAGCTCGGTGATTCGCTCTATACTGCAAATCTAAGTTGAACCTCGCTCTACAAAATGGTGCCTAAAGCTTCTCGAAAGACTTCGTTAGAAGAGAGTCATTCACAATCAAACAGTAGGCACATTTTTTACGGACACCCTGTATTTTGCAGTATTTTTACCCAATTCTGTCTTATTGCTTTTGGAATGGTACTTTGTCAAGCTCAGCTTGGTAATTCAATTTGTTCTCTTTCCGTGGTGGTCTCCATAGTTGAGACCTTTCAAGAATTTACAGAAATGCGCGATGCAAGCCTCTCCTCGATTCAGGTGCCGGAAGTACTGTGTGACGCTGGATTGGTCGCGCTATCATATTCGCGCCCGGACCTTTCCCCGCTGGGCGCGTTGCCAAGTCAATGGATACATAAACTCGCACAACAAGCGGCACATGCCCCTTTGATTTCCGACGGTTTTGAATTCTCTTTCGATCTTTTACGTATTTTCATTGATTGTGCTTGGCAGCTCCCTTGGTAAATTCTCGCGAATAAGTTTGGTTCTTAGCGTTTGAGCAAAGTGATTAAACTTTTGGATTATGCCTCGATATGCGCAAGGAAAGTTGAGAGTTGATGTGTATGAATCTTAGCAGCGGGAGCCGAGAGAGATCGTAACTTATCTTCGCTGAGAAGATCGTACTCAAAATTAGCTTGGTGGTTCTCGGGGGCTTGCGAGAAGGCGGATTCGTCCTCTATTTCACTTTCATCAATTTAGGTACTTTCGTAGCTTAGCTTCTTTCATTATGTAATCTTTTGCTATTGAGAATATTTGTAATCTAGCCGCGCGCGTTATTGTGCTATCAAGAAGTTTAATGGTGCGGCCAGCCGGTGTTAGGAATGCAGGTGGATGGTGTAGGATTCTGCAGGCAGTTGAGCGAATAAGGAAAGATTAGCCCCGAGCTGCAACGCTTAGGAATTTTTGGCTCAAAAGTGAATCTTGAAATCAGCTTTACCGAATGTGCAACACAAAGGATCGAGGTCATAAAACACAACGAGTCCCGTCAATTATTTGTGTAAACAAAATTGTATTTGAACCATTATCGTCCAAAATATCTCGGTAAACTTGCAATTTTTGCGATCATCTTCAGCGGGGACTACAAAACCGAAGAATTTCGTTTTCAACTAGAGCAAAGTTTACGAACACTATTCTTAGAACAAAATCGTAAAGCAAAACTCTATTTCAGTCTACTGACGAGCGCGAACTGACTACCGTGGTAAAGTCAGCCCTCGACAACGGCTATCGATTGATCGGTAAGTGCCTACAGTTTTTAGAAGATCCTACTAGTGTCGTTTGAAATCAACATAGTTAGATTGTCACAGGGAGCTCCCTTCCAAAAATTGCCCTTCCCTTCATTCCGTCTCTGAGCTTTGTAGCATGGTAGCGAAATTCAACATCGAATAGTGTTATGCACGAAGACCTGCAGAATGTTTTGGAAGCTTCTCGATAGTCTTTTTTGAGCAAAAGCTTTATTATAGGTTCTGGATAGCTTGCACGTAGCATTTGATGACCGTATGATCCAGCCTAAAAAGCCTCAAATTTTTGATATTTGAAAAAGTGTTGCACACAATAAACATACCTTTGATGACATAGTTAAGATGAAACAATTTTTCCCGAATCAAAAATTCAAGAAAGTAAAAGGAGAATGATGTGAGGACAATAGTACTTTCCATTCAACAACTTGGGCCTGTATGCACGTACATCCCCGCGGGGGATCTGAAAGACTTTGAAAGAGAACGCGTCATATCTTGCCACTATAAATATATCTACTATTTTGCATCTGTCTTATGAAGGTTTACATACCCTACCTATATAATGGATGACATGAAATTGCCTTGCCTCACAAACCGAGTTTTTCGCTATTCAGTGTGATCCTCTAGGAAATCCACAAAGGTCTCACATTTTCAGAGTCAATAAACTTCCTACCAACTCGATGAAATGCTATAAAACTGTACATTAGTGAATATTCAGAATATCGTCTTCGATAGACCGCTGTTCGCGAGTTGAGGTTCATCGAGCTCACAATCTGCGCAAACCATTTTGTTTTACTGATAACATCCAAAGCAGTGCCATAGATTATCCTCAGTGCAACATTGCGACGTTTCCACCGAATTCCTGGAAAGATAGACGTCTTTGAAAACACGGTGTGATCCTCTGGGGATTTCTGAGGGGGCACGTGAAACAATGGACCTTTGTTTGGTAATGTTCTGCCATTTATTACATTCAAGTATCAAGACATAAGCACTTTCATACCACAAACAAAAACCAAGAATACTGAATCTGGAGTAGCAAATGATGGGTTTCCGCTCACATCCCCTCTCTTCTTCGCTCCAGCAGGGATGTACGTGTATGCATAATTGCGAGTCAATGGAACAGTTGGATTTACTTTTTAAAGTCAATCAGCGGTTTTGTTTTGTAGCTCTAATATCTCATGTTGCAGCACTTCGTACAGTCATTCATATTTGTAACTTTAGCCTTTTGTTGTTTGTAAGAAATTTAAGGCAAGTTGAATTTGCCTCAAATTTCTTACACATTCCAACAGTTTTTTCTCATAAACTTTGTAGACATTGTGTAACTTATCTTTGGAAACATCTAATTTGTAGATATTATGTAATCTAAAATCTTTGACACATCCAACTTCTTGTTTTTAGATACTGCATTCCTATACGGAAATGAGGCGATTATTGGGAAAGCTCTGAAAGAATACTTCGAGACAGGAAAGCTAAAGAGGAAAGACGTGTTTATCACGACGAAGGTAAGGTTAGAAATGCTAACGAATGGTGCGAATCTGTAAGCGAAGCATGCACCGACGTACAAGCTTCAATGATGAAAGATGCTCAAACGTCTAGTCAGCATTAGCCTTGGTGCTGGCGGGCGGGTCCCCGAGATGACGCCAGTGTTTTAAGCCGTAGCAGCATCATAACTCGCCCTTTTGACGGTGGGTGCCCTCTGCACGATGTATCGTAAAAACTTCTGTGGTCTATTTTTGTTGCTTTTCATGTATACCGCTTAGGAGTAGTTAAGTAATAACATTGGATTTTGGCATTGTAGTCAAGAACATTGCAACATCGAAATTCGAAAAAGGTAAAGCAAGCAAGAACGTATTCTAGCATTTACAAGATTCTCAAAGTTATGTCCTTACACATGTACATCAATGCATGTCACCAAAGTGGACAGACTAACAATAACACGAATAGAAAGCGATGTGAAGACGAAGTGAATCATACACAGCGCAGTGCATTACAAAGAATAAATCTCACAAATGTAATCTAAGTGAGGAGAGAGTACTGCACAAATGGTCAGTAATGCTCTCCTGCGAAATCCATGGAGAATCTCATGCAAAATGCTGGTTTCGCAAACCCTGAAGAAACGCATTACTGAGCAAGCAACATGCAAAATTAGTTTGTCAATAGCAAAATGAAAAATAACCGTCGCCGACATTTATCCCTGCTGACAGTGATTGCTTATCGTTCGATTTTCGATAGACAAGTTTTACAAGAAGTCCTACATTGCTAGTTAGGCAAGTAAAGACATTCCAAAAGTAGTAAAAGATATAGTGAAGCATTTATGCTGTTGATCTGTGAAGTCCATCTTCAAAAACTTTCCGTAGAGATACGCGAGGGAAGAATGCCACTTATCACTGTGAGGTACAAAGTTTGTGATAATATCAACATAGATGCCCTCCTTTGCAAGCCGCCTTTGTTGAGAATTAGCCTCTAAGCTGATCTATTAGGTTGCCCGAAAATTGATGTTTGTTTTGAATACTAACCGCGATAAGCCATACACATCTCAGCCTCGGAGTGGCTTCAAAGTAGCATTTGATAGAGCAAAACAAGCTCTGTTGGCGTTATTCGAGTTTGAAGTCAAAAGATAAGAGCAGATTTGACTGCTCAAAAATCGAGGAAAATAGTAATTCTGTTCGAAAATATCCTACAAAAATTGTAGCTTGCTCACATATGCACTTTCCACGATAGACAATTCTATATACCGTCGCTGTATCTTTTCCTCGGTTAAAAACCAGGAAAACGAAAATGTTCACGCTTTTGCCAAAGTGATGTGTGTTGCTTCCACATAAGTCATTGTATACAACGACCCGGTGGAAGTATAAATGTGATTTTTCAACACCCTACAACACTCTATTTATTTTTTGATACACTGTCTGTGCATAGTGCTCCAATACAAAGACACGAATGAAACGACAGACAAAGACAGTAATGAAACGAAATTGTGACATGCTCAGTACCTTAGAAAAACTAAGGAGAGTAACCCTCTAAACCAGATGCTCATCAGCGTTGTCTTTAAAGTCAGTGTCGTGGGGGCTGAACTTAGTCTAAGGACAAGTCCAAGTACGATGCGTGACGGTATAAAAATATACGGTCACTTTCGAGGAAAGAAAGAGGGATGAGCACCTGGGCGAATGAGCGAAATCATGCGTACCCGGCGGGCAGGAAATCTCGTTCGGCTTACCTCCACCATCGCCAACATCGGACTTGGATACAAGATGATCAAGGATAAGAGACAAACATATAAAACTACACGACAAAGACGATGTCAAATTTAGAAGACAAACACTAAGCTGCATATGTAATAAGAGAGCCTCTGTCATGAGCATGCCAGCAAGACAACAATGAGAAAATAGCTGATGGAACAAGATTGTCATAAAAAAAAATAAAAAGAATCTATGCTATACTATAACCCATATAATGAGAAACTGAAAACAGAACAACAAGGTATTAGCGAATTTAGGCAAAGGGAACGTAGACCGAAGTTCATCAAAGCTGTATGGACTGAATTGTGCAGGCAGCCTTGCGAGGACCTCTGAAATCAAAACAGATGAGACAACATAACTGAGTTAAAAAGGCGATCAGCTTCCCAAGTGAAGTCTAAGGAGCAGTGGAAAATACAGCGAAGAGAATAGCCAGCGTAAGGCTGAGCAAGTCAACACTCTGAAAAAAGGGGGCAGAGCCAAAGTAGATTTTAAAACGTAAAAAAAGCAAAGGAAATAAAGAGAAACTTTATCTCAAAAGTACTCGGATTCATCTATTCCCAACAATCTCAAAAAGTCACAATTAAGAAGTTTCTTTCTTACATTTAGTTCTCAAGGAATGTCGAACATAGCGTCACATAGTAAGGTCTCACGCTAATATCCATTCTCAAAGATTAGACCTTGTAAAAATTACAGTTGTACTTCTAAAGTTTATAGTGTACAATTACTCATGCGGAAACAGCGCAGCATCATTTTGCAAAAGATCGAAAATATTCGTTTTTTGGTTTCTAACAGAGAAAGAAATACACCAACGGATGTAGACAATGAACATGAACAAGATAGAAAATCGTTAGGATGCTTTAAAACAGAGTTACGACTTCCCTCGATTTTTCGGACTGTTAAACCTCTTTAGTTTTTGACTTAAACCTCAAGGTGGATCAAAGCCGGTGTAAAAGCGAGAACGTCTTCTTATAGAGCTCATTTTGCTCTACCGAATGATACTTTGAAACTCATTTAGAATCGAAAAATATATGACTTCTTGCGGTTGAAATTTGAAACGGAACCTTAACTTCCGGACAACCTTATACATGCAGTGGGTCCTGACAAAAGCTCTCGAAAACTTGCTTGTTTGAAGTCCTTCAGAAGCAGCGGCGATTCAACGCAAAGGACTGTTAACAATCTGCTGTACCAAGCAAAGTTCTTACTTTCTTTGATCTCTCTGTGTGTCTAATAAAAGAACCTTGGTGTAGTTCGCGAAATCGCGGCTCCAGGGCAACTGTTTTTTTGCATACTAGGAGCCTCTGACGAAGGTAAACTGTTCTTCAGTGTAAGTAAAGTTTCCAAAGGCCCAAACAAGAAAGGAAAGACAAAAATAATAAAATATCAATTGATACAAGAAGCTTTGTTCTGAGGACCTCAACAAAGCGCAGCTAGGCATGAAAATCCTGTTACTGATGATTGTGTCTCAAAAGTTGCAAAAAAAAACTTCTCACAATATCAAAAACGAAGACGAGTTTGCTTGCGAGCAGCTTCACGTAAGTTTACATGGTGCAGAGCGGCAAATGCAAGCCGTGTGAGACATTTTATGCATTGCAGAATTAGCGTTGACTCGTGCGCGATGTCGAAAGTAGGCTCTCCAGAACGGAAATCTGGGTTTCTGCCCATATTCCACTTTAGATTTGGATTCAGGACCACAGAAAGATCCGAGAATGACAAGGACTTGGAAGTCGAGAGTCTTTTCGATCGCTGCCTATAAGTAAATACGAAGAACCTGTTGACAAACAAACAACAGCATACCGGAAGACTTTCTTCAAAGGAAACTTTTGATGTGTGGCATATATTGCAACTTGGTTGCCACTACGCCTGGACGAAATTCACAATTATTCTTAAGTTTATAGGTTCAAGCTTTCCACTGCCATAGTTGGATTTTGATTACTGACTCTCTTCTCAAGATTTTGCTTTTGATGAATGCAAATTTGAATGGTGTACCCCTGGCACACCTAAATTGTGGATTGTTATTGAACGGCGACTGCAAAGGTCCAGATCCTGCTCAGCACATTTTTGGCTTGACCGAAAGGTCCAAATCAGTTTCATTTTCCGAGACTAAAAAGCGAGATTGTACTGAAGGAAAGCGCGGACCGACATTCAGGGCAGAAGAAAGTGCCCACCATCTTTAAAGGCAGCGGCTCGGCAGAAGAAACTTTGACATATTCATCGTTCTCGGCTCTCCTGGATGAGCTAAGTCCAAGACTGTGCTTTGCAGCTGCAAAAGATATCACGCCTTCAAGCATATTTGTTCTTTCCTCTCTTCCACTCCCATTCTTTGCTCCTCTCTTCAACCCAGACAATGATGCAAAATAATTTATCGATGCTGCTTAGGATAGAGTGGCACCAAAGAGAAGCAATGTAAGAAGGAGAGGGTTGCGTAGTTGCATTGCAGCTCTTATCCAAGCCAAATGTGTCCGAGCAAACGAAGCTTTATCTCATAGCACTATAATAATCAGAACAATGACCGATGCCTCTGAGGTAGCAATATCTAACATTGTTATATCTCAGCTCCCTATGACAGCCCACGCTCCAGAAGATGTGGAAAAGTGCGTGAACATGCAATTGAAAGCATTGCAGACGGATTACATTGACCTATACCTCATCCACGGTCCCGTACCCTTCAAGGTGAGTTACATAATTTTTTTTTGTACTGGTACAAAATTTAGAAGGAGGCTATCTCTCCGCAATAGAAAAGTAGTTATATCGACATTAAAGTAAAAGTAGAGGTAGGGTAACAAACGTTTGAAGTACTTTCACGACCTTATTTTCACGCCGATGAGCTGTAAATAAGCTTGATCTTGTCCGGTTTTGATAGGAGAAAAGGAGATGATTCTTTTATATAATGAGAATATCGTGAAATCATAATCTGCTTTCAATACTATTATTAGGAAAACAACAACTACGAATTCTGTGCGTCTGTCATAAAAAAAGAAATTTTCTGTTGCATGTAGTCGGGTTTTGTAATGGACTTGATTCTCCATTAGCGCAACATAAGAGCTTAATTTGCAAACACCTGCATTAGACGAAGGCTCAAATAAATCTCGCTTAGAGAGAAAAAGATAGCTTTGCTCTCGCTTTTGAAAAGGATAAGCAAGTACCTGTTACCATACCACATCTTCTTACCTGGCGTGCCATGGAGAAACTACTCTACGAAGGAAAACTGAAGGTAAGTGACTAGTTATTAGAATGACTCAAAAGTAATGGGGCACCTTGATTTTTTGCGATTTCGAAGATTTCTTTCTGATGTACGGCAAACAACCAGCAACGTGGACAGTTTTGTATATAATGACTTTCACATGTTATGAAAAGCTTCTTGCAGCTTCTCCTACATAATTTTTTGAGCGGCTCTTTGGAGAAGGTGCGACAGACTTTTTTGAACGCCATCCGAAGTTTGTGCTGCTTGTACTCCAAAGTTGTGGGATGTTACACATCAATAGAAAATGCTTTCTGAGCTCTTTCTACTGATTACTTGGATTTGCAATATCCTCGGTCTTTTTTCTTTAATAAATTTTCAAGCGCAATATTAGGCGCAGATTCTCAATCAAAAAACATGTTTTCATACACAGTTCTTTGAAAATGAGGAAGAGGCGTGGTGATTTGCAGAAGTATGGGTAGATGGTTGCTGAACGTCAAAGATGAGCTTATTCGATCACCTTAGTAAGAGGATATATACTGCGTTTCCTGAGGCACGCGCCATACTTGACCCTCTTTATCCGCTTAATCTGTCGTGCAAAACGCGCGCTCGCTAGTTTGTCTTTGGCGCCGCGTAAGTAAAAAAGGGCTTTGTATGGTTACGCAAATTCGCTGTAGCCGACGCCAAATGACGAACTAGTAAGCGCGCGTTTTGCATGAAGCGGACTAGGCGGATTAAGTGGATCAAGAGGATCATGTATAGCGCGTGATACTCAATGGTATATCTTCTCTAGCATTTGGGCCATCAGGCCATCGTGGATTTGGTCCGCTCACCCATTGTGGCGCAATATTTTGGTAGCCTCACTTATTTTACTGCGGCGGTGCTGTCCAATGCTCAAAATTATCTGAAGTGACGGGTTTTGATTTTGAGCACATAAAAATGACGGCATGCGATAGTGTCCATCGATGAACTTTGATAAGAAAGTTTCGTTATCTACTAGCATTTTCTGAAACTTGGACATCCAACTCATTTTCCAATTTTGGAAAACGGCATTTATTTTAAAGGTGCCTCATTACTTTTGGATCACCCTAATATTTTCGTTCTAAACTTGTAATCATTTTCAGGCCTTAGGATTGTCAAACTTCAATGCTAAGCAAATACAACTTATCTATGACAGTGCCCGTGTCAAGCCTGCAAATTTACAGGTTAGATAATTTACAAGCAAAATCGGCTTTATAATATTGTGCGGTTTTTAATTATGCGAACATCCCAATTTTTAGAGGTTTCTGAACTTTTTGGAATAAACTCAAAAAGCCGTTGGTACCAAGCGAAAGGGCACACAGAAAAACAGACGTTTTTGGAACGCAGTGACTCTGACGCAGTGAAAGCATGCAAAGCCATCTGAAAAAGTGACGCTCTTCTTTTTGAACTGCACCTGGTTTAGTGTGTAGCATATTCAGTGCTTATGTAACTCTACAAAAAAATTGGGCCCGAAAGATTGCAGTCTGAATGAGAATGGACCTCTGTTTGAGGTGTCCTTGTCATTATGAACCGCTAAAAATTTGCATTAAGCGCAAAAACATCCCTAAGATTGACATTTTCATTTTTGTGGATCGTGTACCGTTTCGTTAAGTGTTTTGTTTGCTTTCTGCCGTTTTTCAACCATGTTTCAACCTTACGGTAGAGTTAGCACAATCTCAAGCCTCAAAACTCAGCTTCTGAAGTCATACAATGAGTAATCACATAGTTTTTTTTTAGCCAAATACATAGTTTTGTAAACTTCTACATAATTTACAAGACTATTGAACATTTGTTTTGGCCACGCAGGCGTCATTTACCAGAACGACTGTTTGCTATTGCAATCACACTTTTATTTGTTTTTTTAGCTCAGTAGCCTTACTAGTTCTACAAAAAAACCCAATCTAACATGGGTACATCTCATGCAAACAATGCAGCTGCTTCATATCAATTGTTTGCGCGAAACAGAAGCTGAGTTTGAGGCTCGAAGTAGTGCTAACTCTGAGGTAAGGTTGGAATTGGTTGGCAAATGGCACGAGAACGCAGAGATTTTCCAAGCGCCAAACGAAATATCTATCAAATATTTTATTTTTTATCGTAGCTTGGTGGATGCTAAACAGAGTAATTACACCACAGAAAAAAAGACGTTTTTAGAGCGCAGTAACTCTGAAAGCATTTAGCGTCGTCTGAAAAAAAGGTAACCCTCCTTTTTTGAACTGCACCTGGTTCGGTGTGTAGCATATATTTTGGAGTTTATTGATGTACTTTACAAAGATTTGGACCCGAAAGATTGCAATCTTGAATAAAAAATAGACTTTTTAACACGTTTCGGACCGGTGCTGCACATGGTGCAGCACGCGGCTTTGAAGGTTCTTTCTGACCTTTGCAGGAAGTTTTCTTCGAGTCCGAAGTTATTGAGTCAAAGGCCTAAGCTTCTAGTTTTCAAATGACTCTTTAGAGTTGCGCCGCCGACATCTGTCTAGGAGATATGAGCACAAATCGAACAACAGTTGCAACGAAGTGCGGCAACGCGAACGACGCGTGCGACGTCGCAACTTTCCTTTGCTTCGATTCCAAAGAGAAAAACCGGAGTTTCAATGATGATGTGCACCGTGTACAACATAGATACGTTTGAATACTATTTGAAACTGAGTTCTTACTCCTATCTTTCAAGAAAGCACAAAAGTCCCTCTCAAGCGACAAAATTCAAACAATTCGAATTCACTCAGAACTTCGAGTATGGTGCTTATTTGACTTGCTGATTACAAATGTGGCCTACAAGCTGCGAAATAAGGTCCCTTCGTAGGCTAACGGCTGAAAGTACACTCTTTTTCGCCGCGCGCGATTTCGCGGTCCGAAACGTGTTAAAGGTGTTCGTACAATCTTAAATCGCTAAAAATTCGCATCAGTCACAAAACACTTCTAATTGTGAAATTGACATCGATTTTCATTCTTATGGATCATGTGTCATTTTCGGCTGTGCTTTTTCGTGAGGTATCAACGACTTTTTGAGTTTCTTCCAAAAAAACTTCCGAAATCTTAGTGTTTTATAATTATGAATCGCGCTTTATAAAACTCCTGCTTGCTGACGACAACAAGAATATCACCCGCAATGAGTTTTAGCCAAATTTTTACTTTTAGTTGAAACTTTCGGTTCAGCAGCTGACAGCGTTGCTCTGCACAGTCTATCCTCAAGGTGAAGATGACTGAAAGTAATATAAGGCGACCTAAAAAAAGAGTGAGACTTTTTTGCGAGTGACTGCAAGGAAAATGCATAATTCCACCCTAAGCCGCAGGCCTAGTTTTGAGTATTTTCCACAGAGTATTATGCATGCGTTTACAACATCTGTTATTGTTTTAGGTCGAATGTCATATCTACTTGCCACAAGAGGATCTCCTGGAATTTTGCAGGGAGCGAAACATCACCGTTACGGCTTATGCACCCTTAGGATCGCCAGGGGCAAGGGTGAGGTTTTTTAAATTTACACGAAAGAGGCTGACCAATACGCATTTAAACAACAAATCTGTTGTATTGTTTGCATATGAGTCAATCCGCATGTACTTTTGAGAAAGGATCGTTTTAATGCTTTTATTCGCGATCGATTTCCGCCATCATGTTGAAACTTTATCTTTTACTCAATCAACGTTTGGCTCAAAAATTTGTTTTAGGAGCAAGAAACTTTTCGTTTTAGTTAGCAATGCCGAATGTGAAGTGGCCAACAGAGGAACCACTGAAGGAACCTGTTGTAAAGGAGCTTGCTAATAAGTATAACAAGACTGCAGCTCAAATACTGTTGCGCTTTCTTGTCCAACAAGGCGTTGCTGTCATTCCGAAAACTATCAAACCTGAACGGTAGGAGGAATGGCTTTTTCAATTTCTTTTTTTGTAAAGCTTTGTTTTGACAACGCAGCAAATTTCAGTCGATCAACTTACATCAAATCAATCGAATTTTTTTATAATTTCAGTGCAAAAGAAAACATCGATATTTTCGACTTCCATCTTAGTCCTGTGGATATGCAAAAGCTTGCTTCAGTGAAAACTAGATTGAGGTTTAGCACTTGGAACTTGTGAGTGGAAGAATCGAAAGTTTGTAAAACAATTTTAGACGTGCATACTTACAGTGCTTTTGGCCACCCTTTCTTCCCATTTGATGATGTCGATCAGACAAAGGGGCCAGTCCCTTTGAAATCTTAAGAATCTCCAAGGCACAACAGTTCTGAAATACCCCTGCTACAAGTCGTCATGCTTATAAGTGTACAATCCAGTGGAAAGACTTGCTGTTTTTACGATATTTTGGCGTTCTGTTGTGCTTAGAAGTGTGATATAATTTGTAAGATCAAACTCTATGTTTATAGCTAATGTTCGGTGGCATTGAATGATTCTTACACTATATGTAGTAGACAGCGCCTACGGAATATTGTGCATGACGATTCTCTGTCATTCTATCAGGTTGTCTCATAAATTTTTTCAACTTTGACTTTCCAAAGCATAAGTCACACACTTCTCAATCTTATATATAAAGCTGAATGTCTGTTTGTCTGTATGTCTGTCTGTCTGTATGTATGTGTGTACGTATGTTCCGAATAGAAAATTCCATTTCTGAACCGATCCGGACCAAACTTGGCACACATACACTACGGGCCCCGGCGGGTGTCATAGGCTACTTTTCGTCATCGATCGATATCGATTTTATCGATTTTTTTGCTGAGTTCACCTACGGGGCTGGGAGTTGGCACAGGGGGGTAATCGAGCATGGGGATTCCGAATACAATATTGGTTTTCGGGATTATCGATTACTTTTATCGATTTTATCGATTTTTTTGCAAAGTTTGAGCTAGGGGGCTGGGAGTTGGCACAGGGGGGTAATCGAGCATGCTGATCATCCCCAAGGGGGTGATCAGCATGCTCGATTACACCCCTGTGCCAAATTCCATCCCCCTAGCTCAAATTTTGCAAAATCGATAAAATCGATAGAAGTAATGGATAATTCCAAAAACTAATATTGTATTCGTAATCTGCATGCTCGATTACCCCCCTGTGCAAACTCCCAGCCCCGCAGGTCAAACTTTACAAAAAATCGATAAAATCGATAAAAGTAATGGACGATCCTGAAAACTAATATTGTGTTCGTAATCAGCATGCTCAATTACCCCCTGTGCAAAATCCCAGCCTCGCATGTCAAAATTTACAAAAAATCGATAAAATCAATAAAAGTAACCGATAATTCTGAAAACTAATATTGTATTCGGAATCCCCATGCTCACTTCCCCCCTGTGCCAACTCCTAGCCCTGTAGGTGAACTCTGCGAAAAAATCGATAAAAATCGGTAAAATCGACATCGATCGATAACGAAAAGTGGACTGTGACACGCGCCGGGGCCCGAAGTGTATGTGTGCCAAGTTTGGTCCGGATACGGCGGAGCCGGGTAAGCCAGCTAGTTCTGATTAAGACGCAGACGTACTTTTCGATAGATCAAAGCAAACTCTATAAGATGGCGTGTAAGTATTCGCACAAGATTCGGCATACTACGAGTATGCTGAATACACCGCACCCCACCTTTTAGCACATAACTAGTTAGAAGCCGAAATTTGAGAACTCTTGAGCCCAAAAAATTGAAAATTCTCTATAACTTTGTCCAAAGAGAACTTACCAGATCCAAAACTCGCTCACACATATGCACTCAACCCAACATATTCCTAAGTATCGTTGCTGTGTTTGTTTCTGTGCTAGCAACCGAAAAAAACTAAGATTTCCAGGCTTCCAGAAAAGCGATGCTGCGCTGTTTTCACACAGGTAAATGTATACTACTGGCTTTTAGTAATACATCAATGATTTTTCAGCTTTCTGGAAGTGTTCTTGAAAAATATCGAAATTAGCTTTTTTGCTAAGGTATTTTATGTTTAAACTGATATTTCTCGGGAACTAGAGCTCAAAGAAAACTGGAAATCTGTCACTTGCTCTTCTAAAGCCTGTAGTATACAATTACCTGTGTGAAAACAGCGCAGAATCGCTTTTTTGAAGCTTGAAAATTTTGGTTTTCGGTTTTTAGCACAGAAAAGACACAGCAACGGCACATATGACTGTAATATGTGGAGTTTGATGCGTGAGCGAGTTTGGAATCTGGTGAGTTCTCTAAGGAAAAAGTTATGGAAAATTTTCAATCTTTTGGGCATCCAAAAGTTCTCAGATTTCGGCTTCTAACTAGTTATGTGCTAAAGCTGGTGCGAACTCCTACATGCCATCTTGTACAGCTTGCTTTGCTCTACCGAAGGGCCTGCATTTCAGTCAGAATTGAGAATTGTATGACTTACTGCTTTGAAAATTCAAAATTGCAAAACTTATGACGACCTTATAAATGATGATGACAATGATTGCAAGTAGAACGTGAACCTAACCTTAACGGAGAAAGTTACACTGAGCGCTTTACTTCAAAATTGATAGATGTAAACATTACACTGGCTTATAAGATTATCTCGTCGTTAAGAAGAAGAATTGGATTGACCAACACGGTAAATCCTCCTTCGAGCAAGAGTCTTGATTAGAGTTTCCAGAAATGAAGTTGTTGAGTCTTTTGGGTGGTTTTCCAGATAAAAATCTACTCATAACATGCCACGCTTGTGATCAATATTCCTTCACTACGTGTTTCTTGCTATATAAATGAAAAAAATAAAATTATATATAAATTATAAGAAGAATGTAATTTGCGGGAACGGAATCGAGTTGACAGCGGGGAGTAATTTGAATAATATTGATAGTTTACTATAGATCGCTTACTTTCAAGTGCAAGGCTACAGACAAGCGTTGATTTGTGTTCCTCGTTTGCGTCTGGCTTTATAAGCTGTTGGTTTGCTCGTAGTGGTGGAAATAAAGCATTTGAGAGGAAATGATGCGGAGACGCCGCTTATGTCCTAAACCTTGGTCATCGTTAGCAATTAAAATAAGTTCGTACAAGTCATGCCAAATCTATTAGCTGTCGGGATCAAAGTTAGACAAGTATCAGATTAGGAGTAAGCTCTGAAACTATCTCATTTCCTTGCCTGCAAATCGCGGGATATCTGGAAGCTTCAGAACAAATTTGGTGCAAAAGTCGTCTCATTATAAGTAGATTAATACGCGATAACGAGTTGCTTATTGTTTCTCTTAGATAGAGGTTTCTTGCGCATCTCGAACACTGCTATTTAAACGCATTCGTCCATTATCTGCCAGTGTTTCGTTCGTGCCACGGATCTCCCTCATAGAGGGATCACAGCCGGTTAGTCGCGAGGCTACGTGGGGCGTCCCCAGGTGGCGGATAGGGGGATAATCGCCGACCAAAAGCGACCCCGCGCCTGCTCTGATAAGCAAGCGGAGCCGGGGGACGGACTCCCTGCCTCCACTAAAAGCTTGCGCCCTAATTTCCCGGGTAGGTGTGTGAGGAGGCGAGTTCGGAGTCGCCTCCAACAATTAAGCTCCGATCGTCCCTCGCGGGGGTTTTGAGCCCAACAAGCTATCCCTGCGAGTAAATTCTTGTTCGACACAGTGATAATATGGAAAGCTCCTTTAATCTTGGAAGAGCCACTGGTAAGGCAGCGCCAGTGGGGACTTGGTTTGAAAGGCGATCTAGGCTGCCGAAAACGAGACGGATTATGATGACGATCTGTACTTACAACGCGAGGACGCTGGCATCGGACGCATCTATCGAAGATCTCATGATGCAAGCAAGGAAGATTAAGTACGACGTCATCGGACTGACCGAGACAAGGAGGCACCACCCGCTGAACGCCACATTTGAGACTGGAGAAGAACTGTTTCTAGGAACATGCGACAGTCGAGGAGTAGGTGGAGTGGGAGTCCTTGTCAACACGAGTTTGGCCATGAACATCGATTCGTTCGAACAACTTACAACTCGAATCGGACGTTTGCGAATATCAAGATGTGGATCAATCCCTGCCTTGACCGTCTTCATTGCGTACGCCCCAACATCCAGCTACGACAAGGACGAACTCGAGGAATTTTATATGGACTTGGAGAAGTTCTACAGAGAAGATCATACCTTCTACAAGATCATCGTCGGTGATTTCAACGCGAAGATCGGAACTAGAAGGTCGACTGAGGAACTTCACATCGGAACCCATGGTTTGCAGTGGAACGAACAAGGGGAGAGACTGCCCGAGTTTATCATGACGACGAGGACTATCCATGGAAACTCACAGTTCCAAAAGCCCTCTTCCCTACGCTGGACCTGGGAATCGCCCGGTGGAGAGTACCATAACGAGATTGACCACATCATCGTCAACAGAAGGTACTGCCTGACGGACGTCGCTGTTGTTCCGAAGTTCTACACGGGATCAGACCATCGTCTCCTGCGCGCCAAATTCTACTTTCCGCGGAATGGAGAGAGAGCCGTCAAGTTCAGGAAACATCGTCCCATGAATACCACCAACTGGGATCTGTTTTCTTCGATATCCGGCTCATGGCGAGATACCGTGATGGACAACGAAGAATACGAACGGTTCGTACAACATCTCCACGGTTGTGCCAAGGAAGCTCGGAGTCTAAGAAGTACGAGAAGGCGTCTTACCACGGGGACTTTGGAGCTGATACGCCAACGTGGACGCGCACGAGCCACAGGCAACTACCGACTGACGTCCGAGCTTGCGAAGCGATGCAGAGAAGCGATAAAAGAAGACCTTAAGGAGAGAAGAGTAGCAGTGATGGTTGACGCCGCGGAGGCTGGAAGAAGTATACGCAACGCACGCCGAAGCTTCGTCAACTTCAAGACAAAGATGACCGCACTTCGTCGTCCTGACGGAACCATAACTGCTTCCCGAAGATCAATGGAGAAGGTCATCCACGACTTCTACTCGGATCTTTTTGCGAGCCACGTCCACCTTCCACCATGCCATCTCAAGGAGGACGAGTATGTCGCACCGTCTGTTCTTCCTTCCGAGATTCGTCATGCTATCATGTCGATGAAAAACCGTACAGCACCCGGTCCCGACAGGATTAAGCCAGAACATCTGAAGAATCTTTCGCCAGTTCTCATCAAGACTTTGGCAAGGCTCTTCACGCGGTACCTGACGGAAGGCAAGGTTCCAAGGCAAGGAAAGACCAGCAAAACCGTGTTGCTGTACAAGAAGGGAGATCCCTGCGACATCGGCAATTATCGCCCTATCTGCTTGTTGTCTGTAGTCTACAAACTCTTTACGCGAGTCATTCTCAACAGGATCGGAAGAGAGTTGGACGAAGGACAACCATGCGAGCAAGCTGGGTTTCGAAGAGGATTCAGCACGATCGACCACATACACACGGTGTCAAGGCTCATTGAAGTGTCACGAGAGTATAAGATGCCGCTCTGTCTCACCTTCATCGACTTGAAGAAGGCCTTTGACTCGGTTGAGACTGAAGCCG